TATATATATATATATCTGTCGAGATTCAAACGTCAGATCTCCAGTTTGAAGATGAAAGGTATTACCACTCAATCAAGTGATTGGCAGTGGCTGTATATATATCAACGAAGTTGTTAACGAAATCCTGTACTCTACCATTTTGTATCTGTTAATATTTCCGCTCTGCTATCATTTTCATCATTATCTGTTGGGGCCGATATTTTTTAATTTGTCATTTTTAATGGCCGTTGCCATATTTTTGTATTTATTTAGTCACGTCGTACATAGTGTTACAGTGGAATATATCTTGTGTGATCTCTATGCCTTTTGTGATGCCATGACAAAATATTATATTTTCCTGCAGGGTATATGGTTTCTGATTGTAATTTCCTTTATTACCAAGGAGCAATAGGAAGAAGTGCAATGTCATTTTCACCAAACAACAGAAGACAGAAACTCTTTCTAGAAGCAAATTTATCATTGAGGACATCTGTTTCTCGTTATCCTTCAATTGTGTCCATGTGTAAGGGTAGTTCAAACAAGAGAAACCCTGATTTTTCTAGGAAGTACAGAGGATCATCAAAAGGCAAAAGACAGAGCCAAGAAAAAGAAAACTCTGAGAACCCGGAGGATAATCTGCTTTCCTCTAAAAATGGGTCTCTCGTTTCCCATTCCAATAACCAAAGGTTTTCTGCCACTGCCACCCCTGGGAGAAGGGAGAAGGAGATTGTTGAGTTATTTAGGAAGGTGCAGTTACAACTAAGAGAGCGAGCAGCAATTAAGGAAGAGAAGAGAGTTGAATCTGCACAGGTCGGCCAGGGAGATAGAGGAACTGTAGATTCTCTTCTCAAATTATTGAGGAAACATTCGACGGCACAAAGCAAGAAGAGCAGCAGCAGTGATGATGGCTATGGCTATGATCTGGATCAGCCTGAGAGGGCCAATCCCTTTGATGAAGCAGAGAGAAGTGACTTGTTTGAAGAGGAACATAATTCTAACTTCTTTGAATCTGATCATCTTGGTACTCAGGATGTGGTTCATGACCTGAAACCTCCCTTTCCTTCAAGCAGGAGGCCTATTTCAAGATTTAAACGCAAGTCTCCTGTACCTAAAGTGAAATTTCAGCCTGTTTTGTCCGACGAGGAAGAAGGTAGAAGAAGTTTAAGACCCACGTTGAATTCACAAGAGATGGCAGGTATGGCATCTGAGCCCGAGATTGCGGTGCTTGATCTTCAACCTCAGCATCCAGTCGAGCTGGCACATGATCATTCGGCGAACCTCGAATCTTTGGATGCTGAGAGTAAAATGGGGTTTGATCAATCCGACCCATCTGATTCTGATTTGGATGAAACTAGCCCAGAGATGTCAGAGCCACCTATGATACAGGAATCTGATTTGGGCTCCATGAAACTCTCTGAATTGAGGGGGCTTGCAAAGTCTAAAGGCTTCAAGGGATATTCCAAGCTTAAGAAAATTGAGCTTTTGGAATTGTTGACTGAGAACACTGATTGAGCTCACTGCAATGCAGTGGATGGATATTTTGATGCTCTTTTTTATGTGCTAGTCACTGTGTTATTTATTTATTTGTTTTTTTTCCTGCTTTCGTAACTAGTGCTGCTATTTATTGCCAGTTAAACAAAAATTATGAAGGGCTGCACCCATCCATGTTCTGCATTGATAATTGTAATTGTCTACTGCCATTTACTGCTAAACTTCTAATAGCTTACTCATTCACCATTTTACCAACAAGTCATCTTATAGTTTGTTTATACTTATTTTTTATCATGCTGTTCGAATAAATTTTATCGAAAACTTAAAAAATAATTGAAAAAATTATATATTTGAGCTCGGTTTTAGCTTCTACTAAATATTTGCACACTAAATCAGGTAAATTTTTGGTGCATGGATCAACCATAAGTCATTATTGCTACGCTATGATGAGTGTAAATATGTATTCAGGACTTCAATACATGCATGCTGGAGATAACATAACTGTTAAATGTAAGATGTGCATCACATGTTTGGTTTGCAATAGCAATTTTCTTCTAAGAGCTTTGATGCACACATTTGTTACATTGCCTGCGCTTACTAGATATAAATATCATTTTCTCAAGCATGTCATGATGCTCACAACTTGAGCGTCCTCATTTGGTTCCAAAAAAAATATCTAAAATCTTCTTCTTCAAGTCATCCCGCTTCAACTCATCAACATCTTTTTTATTTCCCACAACATGACTCTTGAAATCAGATCAGAATGAAACTTGTCTCCGCATCTTTTGTCCAATTCAAAATTGACGGTGCGATTGAGGCACTTATCCAGATAGTCAGTTTAT